CAATTTTGAGAACCCACTCCACCACAATACAGTGGTCAAGGTATGAGTTGTTGCGCCATAACGCTGGTAGTTGCACTCCCGCTGATGGTGCTTGAGAGTGCTGCAGTATTGGGTGTCGTATGGTCGGACATCGCTTGTTCGTTTGGGAGCGATAGGTTTTTGACAGTTGAGCACTCACAGTTGGTGAGTGCTGTCTTGAGAAGGGAGAGATGTAATGGGCCACATTGCATTTATATAGCATTAACAGATATAAACAATTACATATGTAGGCAGGTGCTGTGCCCGCTATTCGGGCTCAGCGTGGCAATTTATTATTGGTGTATTATTGGGACTAAAGTCCCAATATGGACCAATGATAAATTAACACGAAAATATGTGGGTTTCGAAAGGCGGAAACACTGTCGTATTTATTACGACTTTAAATTTTTCTTAATTAGTTCGATTAAAAAGAAGTCAGAGTCAAATTTACTTAATACCTATTACTTGGGCTTGAGATTTCCTCAAGCGCACGTGTGAGCTGTGACGGTACGGTCTAGCCTCGTTACTTTGTTCGCCGAGTCCCTGCGCCAACTGCTCTGCCAACTCCCTATGATGTTGGGAGAGGTGAGGAAAATCACCCCAATTTACGTTAACGGACATCCGTATCCACACGCACGCTCAGAGAGGCGGGTCGTGGGAAGGACTACTAGTAAATACCTAGTGTAGATGGGCACCTCAATAGAAGCTGGCACGTGATACTCTGGCACACACCTTCAAGCAGCGTGAGAAAGCGGTAAAGCCGTCTAACCTTCGTGCGCGGTGGTGGGGTGTTTGATCGACCGCTTAGGCGGTCGCACCGACGGTTGCCGGTCGCCAAAGCGAGCTGCGACACGGACACCTAACAAGTACCTCACATACAAAACGCAGAAGCTTATTAGGCTTCTCCTTGGCAGCGAACGATGGTTAGTAAATTTAAATCTGACTTATGTTTAGTAGAAAATAATCAAATTTAACTCTCACTACTGATTGTTTAATATGTAAAAATCTGATTCGCGTCTCGTTAAAAGCGTAGCCCTACGTGCGAGCTTCAAATTTATCTAAGCTCGCTGAGACCGAGACGTCAACGTATAAAAGTGATGACGTCCGTCTGTGACGTCATCATGACGCCTAGTTTCAACTGGCGTCATCCCGTTTAATGTGAATCCATCTATGGATATCACATTCACGAGGGTGGATCACATTGATGTGCCTCATCCAAGTGGGAGGTCTAAGGTACTACGTACCCTTTTAGACCTCTCCGTTAAGTATCATACACTTAACGGACTCGTGGAACCATTAGCCCGTTACACCAACAGCATCGCCAGCTGACATCTGGCTCATGACTCTCTCTTTTCCTTCTTTCCCACTCTCTCTTTTTCTTCTTCCCACTCTCTCTTTTTCTGTTCCGTTCTCAAAAACTTGATGTTTAAGCAAACAAGCCAACTAATGGCACATGCTTTTAAGATGGGCACTAATTGGAGCTGCATGTCAGGGATAGGTCAGGCTGTAAAAGTCGGTTTGGTTGGGTTTGGTTGGGTTTGGTTGGGTTTGGTCGGGTTTGGTCGGGTTTGGTCAAACGCTCTTTTGGAGCATTCCCGCGAAGCTCGTTGGGTTGAGCCAGCAGAATGTTCTAGTGCATAGGAGAACGACGTAGTCATAGCAGGAGATCGAAATTTCTTTACAGACATATCTTGAACAAAGATAAGTATTTAATAAACAGTCCGATCATCATCATGATAATTTAAAAAAGGAAAATCATGCGGTCCGTGATCCTTGCTTTGGCACGAGAGATACGCGAAATGCTCAAAGATAGGAGCCCGAGATGGCGGAGCGCTAAGAGCTGTGGAACTAGTTATGATATCTGCTAGTGCTATCTGATACTTTTGCAAGTTGAATGCCATAGCAGAAAAAAATGCTAAAACCTTACATGAACAATGAAGCGGACAAGGCGTAATTAGCTGAGAACTAAGTAAGAGGGAGAGGTGGAAAACAAAACAGTGCCTTCATTCAGGTTGTCGAGTACGATACTTTTCGTGCTTTAATATTGCAGCTTTAACAATACGCTGGAAGGCTTGAAGGTCGCAACGTTCAATAGATGTTGACCAGGACATAACCTCGACAAGAACTCAACAAGGTAGGCACCAGCAGTTATACCCGTCTTTACGGCCGAACCTACGACATTACGAGCCCTTATTGTAGGTATATTATCGCTATTGGACCAGCTTTAAACTATTGATGACTACTACTGCAACTCTCAAACACGCACGAATATTTTACACGCTATAGACTATTTGGCCAGTATCCAAATACTGGCTCTCCATTGCGACTTCATGGATGCTTGAGGCCACACACCTAGGACAGCAGCTGGATTTGTTCGTCTCACAAAGACCGACGAAAAACCAGAAATCAGCATCTTTGCCTGACACCTTTAGCATTCAAGTGCGACGGTACAAGCTAACAAATGCACAACTGGGGGGACCCAACAGAGCCCGAAACAACAACAAGACCTCGTTATTCCAATTGCTCTTATTATTGTTGTCGCTACATCAGGCCAACGCTTGCTAGTATCCAGGCCATTTCACGAAATCACAATGGCAGGTGCATCGCTCTTCCAGGTAGGCGAAGACGTCGAGTTCTGGCGAGTGCTTGAGCATTTGAGTATTCTAGCACTTAGTCTTGTGCTTGTGGAAAAAGCGCTTCACCGTATGGAACACAAAGTCTCTCGCTCAGACAAGTACCAACACATGCTCAAAAAAGTTTATCGTGAACTCATGGTCCTCGGTTTGATCAGTCTAGGTCTTAAGATCTTCAAGGAGACTTCACACATTGACAGTTCGAGCAAGACAATACTTGCATTCCAAGTGGCCGACTTGACGATTTTCTTCTTGGCGCTCGCTCTCATCTTGCAGACCACTGCGGTATTTCAGCTACTCCGAAACCAGAACCGACGAGCTGAACACGCCGAGCTTCTGACAACCAGCGATCTCATTGATATGATGGAGGATGTTGAGAGACCAAGTCCTTCTATTATCGAAACACTATTTTCTTGTGGTCGAGCAGCAAAGAAAACGATCTATATCAAGAAACTGATCGAGCTACGTCTGCTTCGCCATTTATTTCTTCGTCGCTTTGGGTTTCCTCAGCTCTTTCCATTCTCGAACTTTTTGAGTCGAGCTCAAGCCAACCAGATATGTCACATGATTGAAGTCAATCCGTTGATGTGGCTTGTGCTACTTGCGGTGGCGTGGGGAATTTGCGGCTTACTCAATCTCTTTTCGATGCTTGACACGAACATGCCCGAGCGCGAAGAGCTAGTGGACGCATTTATGATCGTCGCTTGGGTCCTTTTGTTGCTTCATGTTATGGTCTTCCTGTATTTTCGCTCTTGCGTTGACCACCTCCTTCGAAGTGCGGCATTCGCTGATGATAAGATGATTCTCATGGCGAACTTGAACGCAATCGCAAAAGATGAAGCCAAAGCTTGGCTGAATGAAGAAGCATATAAGGCGTTGGAGATAATGAGTTTCATTCAAGAGCAGCACGAGGAGATCGAACTTGAACGTGTCCAACGTCAGCGTAAACTCGGCAAGACAAAAGGAAGAATCGGAGCTTTCTTTAGCCATCTGAATGGTTTGATCAGCCGCGGCTCAAAATCAAAGGAGAGAGAAAGTATGAATGGTGTCGTGCCAGGGTCACCGACTATAGATATTCAGTATTTCTCCTACAAGGCATGGCACGTCTCCGTCATTCTACTTCTTATCCTGAATGGCTTCTTCATCACATTATTTCTGCAGTGTGCTATGCACGGCTTGGATGAAATCTATGAAGACTTTGGTGCGCTACCGACAGCATTAGTCCCGCTTCCGCTTGTACTGAATGCTCTGTACTTCCAGCGTCATATCTTCTACGACTTTGTCATCGTTAGCAGCACGCTTTGTATCGATTCACACACACTTAGCGATGTGGTCGAGAATTTCAGTGAGGTTGTCCGACTGCGGTCCGAGTTCGCAACCTCGTTGCTTCACCAAATGACGCAACAAGAGCTCAGTATCTCGGATTTGAAGGAAGAGCTCCAGATGCACGATCCGACTGCATCCGGGTTCATCGATATAGACGATCTCCGATCCGTCCTAGCGAAATTTGGGTTTCGCTTAACGCGTTTCCGCTTTAACAGCGTCGTGAAGCTGTTGTTCAAGCTTGAAGGTACTGCCGTCACGTACGGGCAGGTTGTTCGCCTCGTGGCGATGGCTGAGAATGAAAATGAAAATGAAATTGCTATACTTTGTGAGCACCCATCCCATCCATTACTCCGGCCAAGCGTAATGATGTGCGAAAGTGCAGTACAGGCAAGTGCGCTTTCACAGTCAGACTACAGCTTATACGCTTCTGTACGTTCACTGCAGCAGTCTAATATGGAAGTGGAGTGTAACTCCGTGGGAGACAGTTTCGTACTGCCACTTATGTCCCAGCAAGAAACAATCAACCAAAATGTTGGAGCTCAACAGCCAGTGATGGTGCGCCCCAGTTTCAGCTCTCATGCGCTGCACAGCATGTTTAATCTACAAAGCCTACCGGATGCCAGGGAGCGCTATGAACTATGATAACTTTCGTTTAAACGTTATTGGGCAGTGCATACCATGAACTTATGGCCCAATATCTAGCTAGCCGACGTGCTGAACCGGTCAAGTACATTAAAGTTTGGCAATGAAAAGTGTGTAAGGTGTCGTAAATCCCAAGTAGAAACACATTTTAGATACCACCACGACCTCTTCATTTTCCTTGACTACCGAAACCATGACCGGCCCATTCTTCATTGCGTGTGCTACATGCAAGCTCTCATTTCATGTAAAGTACTAATCGCCCGCATAGAGGACTACACAAATTCGGTTGGTTTCGTTGAGTTGATAAAAGTACTTTCGCGAACTGAGCACAGCCGCAGTAGCAAGGTTCGGGTTTACACCATAACGACGTGCAGCTGTTAATCAGCAGATGCGCGAGTGGGTCGTACACAATAGCTTTATCCAGCGAAGAAAGCCGTCACCGAAGCTCATGCGCTCAAGCAAACGGAATATATAGTCCCAGTCAACGCGATCCAACGCCTCTTGAAAGTCCAAGAACAGTGCATACGCCTCCTCATCAACACTGGTGATGTAGCCTTGGAGGTCTGCGAGGAAGCGAACATGGTGGTAGATGGACGGATCGCGAACAAATCCTTTCTGGCCAGGATAAATCAACTTGCCGAAGAACTGCTGCAGGCGAAAAGTTAGCGCCTTCGACAACACTTTCACTTCGACTTGCACCAGTGCAATCGGACGGTAGTTGCCTGGGTCAGCGCGCGAACCTTTCTTGTGCAATAAACGATTGCCGACTTTCGCTTTGTATGCCAGAAACGTGCCACGCCCAAGTTGGTCATAGATGACCAAAGCGAGGCACTTACCAAAAATCTCTGGCGCGACTGGAAAGAAGCCAGCATTCAGACCGCCAATTCCCGAACACGAGGTTAATTTCATGTGCTTGATCGAGCACACCACTAATCCGGCCTCTTGTCGGCCGATTCCTTACAAACAACTTGTGCGTAAACGTTGACTCGAGGTGAAAGCGAAAAGTGTCGAGATGATGCCGGTCTGCAAACTTTGTTTCTTGAAGAAAAGGACAGAGTACTTAGAGAGCAGATGCTCGATCAACTGGTGACCATTTTTCTTCACACCGTTGGTGTTCACTGTCAGAACACCAACATTTGCCCAGGTAAAATTGGGATCTGAGGCCGGTGTAGCAGCGTATGGCAAGGCCAACCACGACTAGTGTCACTATTCCTGCATCTGCAGCCTAATATTTTAACACCGACTTATCAGCGGAATATTCACCGTCGAGCTTACGTAGCTCTTCAAGCTCGTCAAATTGCTGACCTTGCCACTGGATTGACGCCAGTGGTTGATCATGTGCAGTTGTGCTAGTTCGGAGATCTCAATTTGAGTCTTAGCCATGGTGAGCGATATGGCGCTGTTGAAAGCTGGTGCCGACTCCGCAACCTTTTTGATAACTTTGTCCGGGATTGTGGCGTTCTTGATGATCTTCAAGACGCTGTCGACCTTGCCGTCAGCCGCCTCGAGAAGGTCAGAGAGTGCATTCAGCAGCGCCGTGTTCTCATCATTTACCATTAACTTTGCCACTTCAGCGAGTGGTGACGCCTTCTTTGCGTTGCGAATCTTCGTTTGGCGCTTCACTACAAAGAATGCAGCCTCAGTAGACAATCTAAGCGCATCCAAGGGTGACGTCGGCTAGAATAATGCAAAGACGATCGCCGTACTTAGCAGTGACTGTCGCATCAAAGCCCGTGAACAACGCATATAGCGTCTAGAGCTCCGCGAAGTAATTTGGTGTCGCGATGCGGTTGAGTGGGCGTAGAACGTGTTTCGTAGTTTCGTCAACACGCTGGAGAAGTCAACTCCTCCACGCGTGCGCATTTTTTGCTTGTTTGTGATGGTCGTAAAGCCATCAGTAGTCATCTACGTTGGCTTTGGCGTGCACGTTGGACTCGACGGAGGCGATATGTTCCCGGATGAATCGTGGAGAGTAAATATTGCAAGCGCTTTATCAAAATTTGTACCCGTCTGAGCAATTCAATAGATGGCAGCTGGACGATCATGCAAAGCTCCAGTATGGATCTGACCTTCTTCTTTCTCTTCATCCTCGAGCGAGGCTCGCAAAATAGAAACAATAGGTTCGGTGCGAGCCGCATGAGCTGATGGTATTTTTAGTGGCACGTTGCGAGGGTAGTAAGGTGGTACTCCCACTTGGATAGCGTGACCTTGCTGTACAGTGCATCATCGAAGAGTCTGATGAGAAATTTCTTGAGTTGGTCTGGCTCGCATCTGAGTAAACCTCGTGATACGAACGAAAACAAAATGGAAGACGCACTGACTCGACTGTTATGGTGCATCCTTTCCGAGTGCTAATTGAAGCTTATTGTTGAAAATAACTTGGTCACAGACTAAGCTATTCACGAGCAATGGTGGGGGATACGTGGCGGATTCGAAGGAGACACGCCAAGTCGCAGGCGTGAGGCCAGTTGCCAGGTTCACATCGCGAAACGTGTCATAGACAGGTGAAATTCCCCACCGACGGCGTATTGGTGCGCAATCACCTTGATGTCGATTGAAATTGGGCTTGGGAGTCTCTCTTAACTCGGCGTTTGGCAGCCAGAGGCATATCAAGCGACAATTTTATTGTTCAAAAGAATTTTAAAGATTTCATAATCACGACTCAATAAAATATAATGAATGTCATTAGATAAAATATACTATTTGCTCAAAAAAAATCACAAAAAATCACATAATGACAAAGATATAAAACGTATACCATACGTATGCGTATACTATACGTACTGTCTGGCATAATTCTACTCTATTTGGTATTCTGACCAATCAGGTTTGAATAATTTGGGGGGGATGGTTAGGCGACCTAACTACTAGAAATGACAAGCCGATGGCTCCTAGTACTGGTCGTAATAGTGGTGCTGCTATGTCAAGTCGGCGTCTATTACCTGCAAGCGTGGCGATGTGAGCTGCAAATTCAGTCTAATGCAATCGATTCCAAAGATTTGCTCACAGTCCTGATCGTGACCGATGTGCATTTGCTGGGAAATAGGCGACGCACATGGGTCGAGCGTTTGTGGGTGGACTGGCAGGTGTACGCGTCTGCTAGGGCAGCAGTGGACGTACACAATCCAGAAATAGTTCTCGTGTTGGGCGACCAATTCGATGAGGGCAGTCGATGGACACCAACATCGGATTGGGACAAATATGTTACACGTTTTTTTCGAGCCTTTTCGAGCTTCCTGCCGTTGAAAACGCTGTACCTGGTGCGAAGGTGGTGTAGTCCTTGAGAAGTAGTAAAGAGGGACATTGACCGAACTTTGTCTTGATATGTACTGTACCTAGTAGGTAGGTAACCACGACACGTCATTTGGACGGGATATGAGGATGGAGGACTTGAAGCGCTACGAAATCACGTTTGGGGCGGCAAACCGTATCGAGGAGATTAAAGGACATACGTTTGTGAGTCTCAATACGATGGCGCTGGACTTGGACGTGGGAAGCAAAGAGGTGAAGACAGAAGCGAGAAGCTTTCTGGAGCATATCAACTTTGACGACCTTCGAGCGCGTACGAATGGCAGTATGATCTTGCTCACACACCTGCCGCTTTTTCGTACAGATGATCTAAAATGCGGACAAGAGCGACTTAGTGAGTCGGCACACGTCACGTACGAGCACCCGGGCTTCAAGTACGATACCCACCACCATGTACTCTCACGCGAGCTATCTGCGGAGCTCCTTGGCAAGATACAACCAAGCCTAGTGTTGTCAGGTCACACCCATGCGTGGTGTGCGTATCAGCACTTCGGCACATCGACCATGGAGTATACCACCCCGGCGTTTTCTTGGGGACAACGCCCCGACCCTAGCTACGCCTTAATACGGCTATCTCGCAATGGTGACGGCAAAGCGGGCGAACCAGAAGTGACGGCTTGTCACTTGCCGCAGGAGCCGTTCATCTTTGCAACGTACGCTGCCACAGCTGCCATTATCCTACTAGCTCATGTCGTCAGACTTGTACGCGCACTACGTACGCCCAAGGCGAAGGCCAAGGGTGCTTAAGTATGGTGAGAGTGCTCGATGACTAGCCTCAATTGGGAACCGGTAATGGTATGGTGCTGCATGTAGTATTCGTCCATTTCCGTCGCTAGAGACAAAGTAGAACACTGACTATCCGGAGTTAATACGCTCCTATTTCAAGAGGGATGGCATGTACAAAGTTTGTGCCCCAGAAGCAACTGTCCTGGTATTACGACTTGTACGCAGAGTCGTATAAGTCATTTCCCATTACGTTCAAGGATAATGTGGAAAGAAAAGCTGAACTCAAAAATGCCAGCATTGACGACTACTCTGGCGGAATCAGACCCATTTTCGGGACCGGTTCCGTCCCGCTCGTTTTTGGTACATCCAAGGGATCCAAGCAAGAAACCTACCGCTGGACAACGCCGTCGACTGACCCCAGACCTGTACCTCCTTCGCCTGTGTGCACAGGATCATGCAGCCTGGAAGACCTTCAGCGCGACGCTCATAGCGCGCGCCGCTTAATGGACCCTGGCGAGAGTAGAGAGAAATGTAGAGAATGAGAGATAATTCGACGCATGCGGAAGTTGAGCCACCTTGATGTCTAGACGGCTCGCGTAATGCGTTTACATGCATTTAATTCTGTGCTTGGTGCCTTCACTTGCTACCGTTAAGTTTGCAATGTGCAAAGCCTGTGCAGCAGTGGTGTGTTTACATGGTGTCTCCCGTAGATTGACCGAAAACTGGACGATCCAGAACGCACAACCTGCGGGTGAGTTTATGAAGTGCGAGGCAAGTCACCTTTTAAAGGAAAACCGAGCAACTTGAAGGCAAAGGTTTCATTGTTGAAGCAAAAGGTCGAGGGAAACGCCACTACCATGAATATGACTACGGCAAGAGACAAATGACGCCATAAAACAGCGACGACTAACACGTCTTCTATTAATGCAAAGTTCCAAGGAATTTGGTTCCGGTACGTTATTAACGAAGTAGGATCTTCACCCAACTACCATAGCTTCTCGCTGAAGCGCAGCAGATCGGTCCGCCCTCTTAATGGTGAGTAGTGAGGTTCTTGTTTGTGCTACGTAGCTCTCGAGATCTTGCTCGAAATGAGGTAGGCGCTATATCCCCCACCTTTTTGCTAATTACTGCACCACCTCAGCAGTTTGCATATGCTTTTATGGCACAGCAAGAGGGAAAATGGGCTTTTCACTCAAGCTTGAGTGCCACAACTTTTTTGCGGGGATCAAAAGCGAATATCAAGGGCGGAATAATACAGCTATGATTGTTTTTGTGTTATATGTTTACAGACTCTAAAAGTTAATTATACAGACAGGTCACAATGCTTACCTCAACAACAGCAAAAGCATGTCTTTTGCCAAAGGTAGTCATCGAATGCAAAACAGCGGCAGTCTTTCGCGAGAACTACCAACGATTATCTAATGTCGTAACACCCAGACATCACAGGCTTATGAATGTAGTGTCGTCAAATAGCAAGTATTGCTGGAGGTAAATAGACGATAGATCGCTGCACTGGTTTTCTGACACAATAGACAGGATCAAACTGAAACCATCGCATAACATGTTTCATCGGCATGGCATGAGCATATGCAGACTCCTGGTGTATGGGCAGCCAGCGTTTCTGCAACAAAATGATTCAACGGACTGTGACCAAACGAAAGCAGTGACAACGCTGCGAGTTCCGTACTCAAACGGCACCGTAAAAATTGCTTAGATGCGTGGATCATTCTTCGTCTAAGCAGGTCTCTTTCAAGTCGGCTGTATTCTGGAGTCTAAAATGACTTGAGGTGCGTCATAAAGGCTAAAGGCCTTCGCCGTTATCAAAGTGATAGAATGGCACAGTATATGCAAAAAGTGCGTGCTGTAAGCTCATGTGACTGACTGCATACTCCATGCGAGTAGGCGGTAGCAAATGATAATAGTAAACGTAGCGTGCTCCTGTCGTTGAGGAAATTTAGCGCTGCAATGATGTGTCTTTAAAGAAAAGGAGAGTTGTCGACGAGTTTCTATAATCTATGTTTGCTACTAATTCCACTGGACATAGTAGCAAAACTCTTGAAGTTAGTAGCAAATTTGAGTTGTTTGATAAAAAGGTACAGCAAATAGTTTGATCAAGCAATCACACTAATTACTTCCTCTTACTTGGCAATGGCATGAAATGCTTCCCTTTTAACATACGCGTCTTTCTTATGGTATCATCCGCTCCTTATTACCGTTAGTGCCAACTTTTTGCAATTAACTTGACCGATTTTTCCTCATAGTATGTATTTGAATTGGCGGTTTTGCAACGGATTCAAAGGTAGAGTTGAACGAAAGCCTCGAATGTCGTTACTCGACATCGAAGATACGTTTATCAAAATCGACTTTGTAGCACTTACATTCAATGCATAAATAATACTGATTTTCCTCTCTTACAGTAATGGTTGTTGGAGTTGTCCTTAAAAGTTTGAGAAGACAGCGAGCGCTCTCGACGCTTCCGTCCGGCCACCAGAAGCGCATCAAGGGATGGGTCGGTGGTTGAAAAAGAAGGCAAGAATCAAGGCTGGTCTCACGAGAGAAACGGTGTAACTTTTCGGAGACCGTTTCAAGAGTAACTAGCTCTCACTTCAGAAAAAGCAAAATGGCAGGCGGATCCCTGTTTCAGGTCGGTCAAGCGGTCGAATTTTGGCGGGTACTAATTCACTTGAGCATCTTGGCTTTCTGCCTCGTTTTCTTTGAGGCCGCTCTCCATCACGTCGAACATAAACTCTCGCAATATGACAAGTACCAACACATGCTTCGAAAGGTATATCGAGAACTCATGGTTCTTGGTTTACTGTGTCTTGGATTGAAACTAATTTCGGAAGTGCCAAACGACTACGCAGATAGCAAGACCATGTTGGCTTTCCAAGTGGCTGATCTCACCATCTTTATCTTGGCCATCGCTCTCATTCTGCAAGCAATCACCGTCTTTTCGCAGCTTCGCAAACACAACAAACAGGCTGATCGCATCGAATTAATCACGGCACAAGACTTGGTCAATGCCATCCGTCCACCGAATGGAACGCGCGCAACTGCAGCACAATTTCAATTGAACCCAACAAAATGGTTTTGTTGGCCAAGTAAATCTGTAATTGGATTTGGGCAAGACGCAGTCGAACGTCGACTACTTCGGCATTTGTTTCTTCGTCGCTTTGGACTTCCACAGATCTTCCCGTTTTCCAAGTACCTTCGTCGTGCTCAAGCAAACCAGATCTTGCACATGATCGAAATCGAGCCATCCATGTGGATTCTTCTGCTAGCTGTAGCCTGGATGCTTTGTGGCTTTCTTAGTGCTCTCCACAAAATGAACGTCGATCTTCCTGAAAGTCACGAACTTGTCCAAGCTTTCGTGATTTTTGCCTCGGGACTGGTAGTTCTTCACATTGCGGTGCTGGTCTACTTCCGTTCGTGTGTTCACCAGCTTTTGCGAGCTGCTGGTTATAGCGACGATGAGACTACGTTGGTTGATAATCTCCAACAAATCGCTCAAGATGAAGATGATGCTTGGCAAAGTGAAGCAGCTGACAGTGCTCTGAGCACCATGAACCGGGTACAAGAAGAACTTGAAGAGATTGAGGACAGTCGAAATGCCGCGAGACACGTTTTGCTTCGGAAAGATATCGGACTACAGCTCGTGGCTACTTGCTGTCTCAATTTGAATCAAATCGGTCATGTCAAGCTGCGCCGACTACCGAGTGGGGTGCAGCCTGAAAGTCCAGACATCCACATACGATTCTTTTCACGCAAAGTATGGCACGTTATGGTAATATTCATGCTAGTTCTTAACGGATTTTTCATCGCTCTGCTTGTGCAGTGCGCCGTGTACGACTTGAACGACATTTACGAAGACTTCGGGCTCTTTCATGCTATCGTGGTACCTCTTCCGTTGGTTTTGAACACTTTCGTCTTCCAGCATCGAATCTTTCGCTACTTTGTGATCATCTGCAGCATCCTTCGTGTGGATGCCAATACGTTAGGCGAGGTGGTAAACCATTTCAGCGAGATTGTTGAATTACGGTCAGAGTTTGCGTCCTCGTTGCTAGAGAGTTTAAAAGATGGAGACTATACAATCATGGATTTGCGCCAAGAACTTGACGCCTATGACCCACGACAGACTGGTATGATCGACGTTGACTACCTTCGTGCCATCCTAACAACCTTTGGCTTCAAGTTGACGCGATTTCGCTTTAATACCGTTGCGAAGATGCTTTTTGAACTCAATGGAACAAAAGTTGAGTATAATCAACTACTCCGGCTGTTGGTATATGGACAAAATGATGCTGCGATGCGGGATTGCTCTCGATAGGAGATGGTTAGCTGACGAAGTGCTAAGAGTGCAGGTCCACGGCTGAATAGACAGTGATAAAATTGATGATGGAAACAACCAATATCAACACGAACCCTGCCGTTGTCCATTTATAAGAAATGCAGGCCAGGAAGTGGAACGCCGATAATGAAAAGCCGGATGAGGTTTTCGACCTTTTGGGACTTACGGGAGACACTCAACTCATTACGAGCCCGTTGGGGAACACTTATTTGGACTACTAGAATCATGACATCGACTTGACAGTTGTGGCTGTCGACAAGCTCGGCAAAGTAGAGCGACATAGAGCAGCTTTTTTAATCGCTTTCATCTTAGGCAAAGACTGCGAGCTGAGCCCATTGCTGAGCTTTTTTGGAGACGTGGAGATCTTGTCACAGGACAAAGCTCGGTCGATTCCACTTGACGACTATGCTGGCAGCTATGAGTCGAGTAGGAGAATCAAAGCAGGAAGAATATATAAGGAGACAGGCCTTTTCGATAGCCATTAGCAAGAATGCATCTGCTGTAACGTGCCCCTATGCATCCATCTTGCTACGCGCGTGTATTTCAAAGTGTATGAGATTTGCACTCCTCCTAGCACCTATCATAATCAAAACAACAGCCATCTTGCCTTTACCGGCTGCGCAATGGCCAAATTAATAGCCGACGCCGAAACATTTGCATTGTTCGATTATGTGATTTTACTGATTGAAGGTTACGTGTTGTACTTCAAGAGCTTGGGGCTTCAAACGTTACACGCAAGAATTTTTGCTATCGATAAGTAGTATAAATACGAAGCTAAAAGTGTGCTAAGACCTACGCTTGAGTTGTTCGAATTGTCCGACATCCACCGAAATGTATGACGAAATACATGCTACACAGTACTATCACACGACCTAGAGCAGCACGTTGAGCCGATCCATAACTCAAAAAAGTATCGTTGCCGCATCAATACTCTCGAGGCTCATGCCACCAAGCTTTTACAGTACTATCAGACTTGTCTTGTCGTAGCAATGGGATTGCGCTTGAACGTTTTACCAGATTAATACCATCAACTTTCAAGAGGTAGTGGCAACCTTTTTATTGCGATATAAGACGATATTCCTTGCGCAAGTTACGATGAACCCGCAATTCTCGTCTCTACGAGATTGCCGAGCCAGCTTCTCGGGGAGGCATTGTATACCATTGTAAGGTGCTGTCAGTCACAGCTATCTAGTCTTTGCAGAATCGATGCTCTTTGGCACATTCATATACTATAGTGTGCGGCTTATTGACCACCGCGGAATGGTACTTGAAAATACCTGTTCACCAAACAAACATACATCGGCTGTTTCTTTAGCAAAGTCTTGAAAAAGCGTGCGAAAAATGCCCAAACTTCACATAGTGAACGCACATAATTTGTTTGAAGGATTAGAACTGAACTTTGTCGGTGTCTTGCCATTCTACTGGCTTGCTCTCGACACTTCGAGATTGCTCGGTCTCACATAGTGAGTTCGAGCCATTTTTCAGCTCTGACACTTGGGGTGACGAACTTGGTTGCCGTCGTGCTCCTTGTTCTGACTTGCTCTCGACGCTTTGCGAAGATCACAGTGAGTAACTTTAACAGCTTCAACAACATTTATCAACAACCAAAAAGCTTTAAAGCGTCCGGGGACGACAAAATAACAAGGCTTAAGATCTTACACAATTCAGAGCCTCAACAAGACAGAATACTCGGTCGGCATCGCATCGGCACGACCTACTCGGGCGTGGGCGTGTGGCAGAATGATAGCGTAGAGATCCTCGCTAATGATCAAGATAAGCACACCACGCCGTTGTACGTGGACACGGAGCGGGTCATTGGCAGCAAGTTCTCGGACCCGATCGGTTTATCTGACACCAAGCAAGCCGTTCCAGGTGCCGTCTGGCACCGTAACAAGCCGCCGATCCCGATGTAGTCTAAGGTCGAGTCGACGATGTTCGATATCTTTAGAAGTTTTTAAAGTCAGCTCGTAGCACAACGACGACATAATAAACGTCAGCGGAACTTCGAATCAGAAGTTAAACCTGTGAGAGAGAGGACATGACAACACTACATCAGAAAGATACGCGATGGAGTCGGTGTAGTTACCCATCTTTTATCATTGATTATTGCGATAGTAAACTGCATTCGCACAAATACTTGTTCACATTACGGATAACTTCTTATACATACATACATGACTATTCGGCTACAGAATATGCGCTGAGATTGCTGTTGCTGCTGCTGAGCAGGGGCCGCATATATTGCATGCCGACACTCAAACTCGGCAGCATGGATTGGTTGCCATTGACGGATGAGATGATGGAAGAGGTGCTGCCGTTAATGGAGGAGGAAGGCAGCAAAAGGTGCAAAGGCGCCGCGGGCACAGTTACTTCCGTTGCCGAGCCACCCACAACAGTATGCCGCGAGCATTTGCGGCTCGTCGATGGCGGTGAGGACTTGGATCTGTAATCATAGCCTGGGTGCTCCAGATGATGGTGGCTGGCAACTGGGCCCAATGACGTCGTGGGCACCGATGGCGGCCAGTCCACGATAATATGCCGAACCGACTGCTCATTGCGTGACTGAAAGCGTACCATCAGCTCGCGCGCATTAGCCACCGAGATGTCCGGAAGTTTGCGCAACGCAGCCACCTCGACCAGTTTCATAAGCTCATCGAACGTCATCAACACGCCCAGCTCCGCGCGGGCCACCACCACGCGCATGATTCCGGCCTCATCGCTCTGATGAAAGTAACCATTGGTGCCCTTGGACGAATGTCCTCCCTGCGCACGCTTCTTCACGCGGCGATGGAGAGCTGCAAAATGCACACCGTAAGTTCTGGCAGCGGCGCGCAGACTCATCCCCTGCTGTTCCACAGCCGCGATTGCTCTATCCCATGTCTCCGGTGACACTGTGTGGCTCAGCTTGTAGCCACGTTTCGCGCTGGAGGTCGGATCAAAGTATTGGGGGGAAACACCGCCATCTCTATTGTTGTCCGCGCTACCAGTAGAAGGTGCTGCACTGACACTCGAGCTGCTGCTAGTCCCAGTCGTCGTGTCATTCTCGCTGTCGCCGCTACCACTGCTGGCGTTGAAGCTGATCTCTTCGTTGCTCCATTTATGCCTGGAACCATGTCCTGCACGGTAGTTGTCCACAACCAAGGAGCGGTGCTGCTGCTGCTGTTGCTGTCGACGAGTATGCTGTATCTGCGGGTCGCTGTCGCACATTGTCCGCATGCTGCACTGCGCCAAGGTTTCAGACTCACGCGCAGCGGCGGAGCGTCTCAACGGCTGTTTGCCCCCACCTTTCTCGTCATCGCTACTACCATCACTCATCTGGATGCTACTTGTTGCACGCACGGCGCTGCTGTGGGTGCGACTCCCCACGTGGGCCCGCTCGGGCAGCCCGAATGCGAAGACATCGTCGGCATGTGCGAAGCCGTGCGCGCGCTTGAACGCAAGGATCCAGCGCGTGGGCGGAAAGTCGGGTGGAAAGCTAATTGCGCCCTTGTGGCTGGCGACCGCACGCACGACAACGCGGACATCGTCCGAGGTGATGCGTTGGTCGTGCCAGAAATGCTCGCGCAGAACGACGAGTGCTTCTTGCTCGTCCGTCTCGGTCAGGTACTGGCGCACCAGCTCACCACATGACGCTTCGGTTGAGCTTCGAAAGTGATGTTGTCGCTCTCTGTCCATCGGTAGCGAGGACTGGGACATAAGGTCGGCTAGTTTCGGACGCTCGGTCGGATGCATGTAGATTCAGAAATGCCTCTTTTTAAATGAGACGTCGGCTGGTCTTCAATGTACCGATTATGGCTCTGTTCGACGAGCTTCTTTTGCGTATTTGTTGTGATTGAAATGGAAACCCAGCCGCTCTTTCTATCACCTAAGTCGGACTCGTAAATGTACTGTTTCGCTTGTCATGTCTAACGACGTCCCTGCCTTTCGCAATGCAAGGCGCAAGAGAGGACAGCGCTGCAACAAAATTCTCTAGGAACAACTAGCTGGCCAGTCCACCCAGTAACTGCTTACTTCAGTAGTTACTTTCCCGATATTCAATCACAACAAATACGCAAAAGAAGCTCGTCGAACAGAGCCATAATCGGTACATTGAAGACCAGCCGACGTCTCATTTAAAAAGAGGCATTTCTGAATCTACATGCATCCGACCGAGCGTCCGAAACTAGCCGACCTTATGTCCCAGTCCTCGCTACCGATGGACAGAGAGCGACAACATCACTTTCGAAGCTCAACCGAAGCGTCATGTGGTGAGCTGGTGCGCCAGTACCTGACCGAGACGGACGAGCAAGAAGCACTCGTCGTTCTGCGCGAGCATTTCTGGCACGACCAACGCATCACCTCGGACGATGTCCGCGTTGTCGTGCGTGCGGTCGCCAGCCACAAGGGCGCAATTAGCTTTCCACCCGACTTTCCGCCCACGCGCTGGATCCTTGCGTTCAAGCGCGCGCACGGCTTCGCACATGCCGACGATGTCTTCGCATTCGGGCTGCCCGAGCGGGCCCACGTGGGGAGTCGCACCCACAGCAGCGCCGTGCGTGCAACAAGTAGCATCCAGATGAGTGATGGTAGTAGCGATGACGAGAAAGGTGGGGGCAAACAGCCGTTGAGACGCTCCGCCGCTGCGCGTGAGTCTGAAACCTTGGCGCAGTGCAGCATGCGGACAATGTGCGACAGCGACCCGCAGATACAGCATACTCGTCGACAGCAAAGCAGCAGCAGCACCGCTCCTTGGTTGTGGACAACTACCGTGCAGGACATGGTTCCAGGCATAAATGGAGCAACGAAGAGATCAGCTTCAACGCCAGCAGTGGTAGCGGCGACAGCGAGAATGACACGACGACTGGGACTAGCAGCAGCTCGAGTGTCAGTGCAGCACCTTCTACTGGTAGCGCGGACAACAATAGAGATGGCGGTGTTTCCCCCCAATACTTTGATCCGACCTCCAGCGCGAAACGTGGCTACAAGCTGAGCCACACAGTGTCACCGGAGACATGGGATAGAGCAATCGCGGCTGTGGAACAGCAGGGGATGAGTCTGCGCGCCGCTGCCAGAACTTACGGTGTGCATTTTGCAGCTCTCCATCGCCGCGTGAAGAAGCGTGCGCAGGGAGGACATTCGTCCAAGGGCACCAATGGTTACTTTCATCAGAGCGATGAGGCCGGAATCATGCGCGTGGTGGTGGCCCGCGCGGAGCTGGGCGTGTTGATGACGTTCGATGAGCTTATGAAACTGGTCGAGGTGGCTGCGTTGCGCAAACTTCCGGACATCTCGGTGGCTAATGCGCGCGAGCTGATGGTACGCTTTCAGTCACGCAATGAGCAGTCGGTTCGGCATATTATCGTGGACTGGCCGCCATCGGTGCCCACGACGTCATTGGGCCCAGTTGCCAGCCACCATCATCTGGAGCACCCAGGCTATGATTACAGATCCAAGTCCTCACCGCCATCGACGAGCCGCAAATGCTCGCGGCATACTGTTGTGGGTGGCTCGGCAACGGAAGTAACTGTGCCCGCGGCGCCTTTGCACCTTTTGCTGCCTTCCTCCTCCATTAACGGCAGCACCTCTTCCATCATCTCATCCGTCAATGGCAACCAATCCATGCTGCCGAGTTTGAGTGTCGGCATGCAATATATGCGGCCCCTGCTCAGCAGCAGCAACAGCAATCTCAGCGCATATTCTGTAGCCGAATAGTCATGTATGTATGTATAAGAAGTTATCCGTAATGTGAACAAGTATTTGTGCGAATGCAGTTTACTATCGCAATAATCAATGATAAAAGATGGGTAACTACACCGACTCCATCGCGTATCTTTCTGATGTAGTGTTGTCATGTCCTCTCTCTCACAGGTTTAACTTCTGATTCGAAGTTCCGCTGACGTTTATTATGTCGTCGTTGTGCTACGAGCTGACTTTAAAAACTTCTAAAGATATCGAACATCGTCGACTCGACCTTAGACTACATCGGGATCGGCGGCTTGTTACGGTGCCAGACGGCACCTGGAACGGCTTGCTTGGTGTCAGATAAACCGATCGGGTCCGAGAACTTGCTGCCAATGACCCGCTCCGTGTCCACGTACAACGGCGTGGTGTGCTTATCTTGATCATTAGCGAGGATCTCTACGCTATCATTCTGCCACACGCCCACGCCCGAGTAGGTCGTGCCGATGCGATGCCGACCGAATATTCTGTCTTGTTGAGGCTCTGAATTGTGTAAGATCTTAAGCCTTGTTATTTTGTCGTCTTCGGACGCTTTAAAGCTTTTTGGTTGTTGATAAATGTTGTTGAAGCTGTTAAAGTTACTCACTGTGATCTTCGCAAAGCGTCGAGAGCAAGTCAGAACAAGGAGTACGACGGCGACCAAGTTCGTCACCCCAAGTGTCAGAGCTGAAAAATGGCTCGAACTCACTATGTGAGACCGAGCAATCTCGAAGTGTCGAGAGCAAGCCAGTAGAATGGCAAGACACCGACAAAGTTCAGTTCTAATCCTTCAAACAAATTATGTGCGTTCACTATCTGACGTTTGGGCATTTTTCGCACGCTTTTTTCAAGACTTTGCTAAAGAAACAGCCGATGTATGTTTGTTTGGTGAACAGGTATTTTCAAGTACCATTCCGCGGTGGTCAATAAGCCGCACACTATAGTATATGAATGTGCCAAAGAGCATCGATTCTGCAAAGACTAGATAGCTGTGACTGACAGCACCTTGCAATGGTATACGATGCCTCCCCGCGAAGCTGGCTCGGCAATCTCGCAGAGTGTAACAGGGCATCTGGTTACACGCAAACATTAATTAATATATATAATGTTTGGTCTAAAAGCATCCATGATTACTTTGACCTGTCACTTGGGTGCGATACACAAATGTAGAGGTGGTACCCAGACTCAGACTCAGTGGGTAATTACCCATACCCAGACTCATGGGTTGGGTATGGGTAATTGGCCTCAATTAACCAACTTACCCATGGGTACCCATGGGTAAATGTTTCAAATTTTTGAGACATACATCAGACACACCTGCTCGTATTGATTTCTAATTGTTTAATGTATTAATGACTCATTACGCCTTTTTTGGTGAAAGTCTACCGCACATATGATGCAAAGCAACTGGAGCCAGTGGCGCAGGCCATGCTAAGCAAACTCAACAAATATATATCAAGCTGGTGTTTAAACAGGATGCAAACTTCTTTGCGACGGTGTTAGATCCAAGATGGAATATTAGCTGGTTCAAAAACCTCGACGAAGGGCCAAAGCAATTTTGGGCTCTTGGCCATAGCCCACAAGCAATTGAGTTGCTTTTTGTGGGTGCAGCATACAGTCATCAGAAGTCATAAGAAAAAATCCCGCCTCCGCCACCTGTCAACATTTGTAACGACAAGAGCGATGACGACATGGAGCCAGACGTCTTCGCATTTGCTGAAGACAGAGTTTTACAGACCGCAGTGAGCAAAGTCGAGGAAAAAGCTCAAACTTATTTTGCTCTTTCGCTTGTTCACATACACTTATTGCCATTGGAGTGGTGAGCACTGCATCAGCTGCAATTTCCGATACTTGCAAGGATGGCAAGATTTTATCTGGCCATCCCCGCGTCTTCAACTCCGTCTGAGAGAGGATTCTCTCAAGGTAGAAAGACTTGCAGGTAGAACAGAACTTCGCTTTCCCCTAAAAGCTTGGAGAGGCTTCTGTGCCTCAAAGATTGGATAAGGACACAGGGTCACGTTTTTTTGTTGGCAAGGGATTAGATTTTTCCTTTGTCAGCTCGCTTGAACTTCCCAGTGGGAGACGTAGAGTGTGGATACTTTTATTACCAATTTCCATAATGCTTTTACTCCCTTTCATACTGTTAAATAGTCCGCATATTTATTGCGGGTAACATGGGTAATTACCCGCGGGTATGAGTCCAAGTCGTGGGTAATGAAATTTGAATGAGTCTGAGTCGTGGGTAAACGCAATTACCCAACCCAGACTCATGGGTACCACCTCTACACAAATGTGATTCACCCTCGTGAATGTGATATCCATTTATGGATTCACATGGGAAGGGATGACGCTAGTTGAAGCTAGGCATCGCAACGTCTCAGAAGAACGTCATTCAAAAGCTTAAATCTAGATTCAAGCTCATGCGACAGAATACGCTTCTAAAGAGTCGCGTATCCGATCTATATACATATATAGCCAATCAGTAGTTAAGTATATATTTAATTATAATTAATTAAATATAGCTCAATCTTGAATTTGCTAAATCAAAAGCACCGCGCACGAGAAGCTCTAAAAGCTTCTGCGTGACGTCGGTGAATTCTTGTCTTAGAAGTTCGTTGCACTCTCGCTTAAGCGAGAGGCAAGTGGTGGTACGACTGCGTAAGCAGTCTACCAACCTCCTAATCACCCTCGCACGCGAAGGTAAGACGGTATAACCGCTTCCTCGCTTGTGCATAAGGTGTGTGCTAGTAGTACGAGGCAGCCTTTTTTAGACAGTGCCCGTCTACACTTGGTAGCATTAGTTGTCCTTCCCACGACCCGTCTCTCTGAGCGTGCGTGTGGTCAAGATGGTCCTTAATATGGACTGGAGTGACTTCCCTCACCTCTCCCAACATCACAGGGAGTTGGCAGAGCATATGGCGCAGGGACTTGGTGAACAAGCCCTGGTCAATCTCTTGCATTGTCCTCCTGAGCAACATGTTGCTTAGTTGGAGCAATTTGAGGCGTTTGTGCATGGACAGCGTAGAAACGCGTCCGAGGTAAACAGCCAAGACACGGCTGAATCCATCAATAAGACTCAGGATAAGCTTCGGCTTGAGCAGGCACGTAAGGAGGCGCTCAACAGAACTGTTGAGACGCTCTCTGCCCGGCCTGATCAACCAAGGCTCATTCGGATGGACCCTCCGAAGCTCGATGGAACTAGCCTTCACACGATTATCACTGGCTAATAGCAGTTGAGCAATGTGGAGTGGCGCAGCTCATCGAATACGACACCAGGATGGTGTCGTATGCCATGTCCAACTTGCGTGGCAAAGCGTCAGAGTGGGCATACTCTGCGCTGATGGCTAATGCTGATGCATTTCCATCATGGGCGATCTTTAAGTCAAAGATTCGTGCCATGTATCAGCCGCCTAACAACGAAGTGTTGCTTATGGCGCGCTTCTTTGGAGCACGACAGGCGAAACGCTCTCTGCAAGAGTTTGTGCAGGAGATGCGTTCGCTGTCGGCGTCCATCAATGGGGAACCGATACCAGAGCGTATCAAGGTAGCCACGTTTATGAATGGACTTAGGCACGGCCCATCGCGTCAGGCACTTTTCAGAAAGGTGCCAGCGACGATGGAAGAGGCAATTGACATTGCCTTAGTTGAGGAGCAATCCTACAACAGCGCCTCGGCGACAGCCTATTACAGGCCGTCGACCGAGAGGTCTGATGCCACTCCTATGGAGTTAGGCAATGCAGATGTGATCTGCTACAAGTGCGGCAAGCGAGGCCATATGATGGCTCGCTGCTATGCCAAAGTAGCTGCTGGTGCTAAGGCAGCCAGCAAAAGGTCTCCCAACCCGAAGGGAGGTGCGAAAAACCAGCGTGCACGACGCACGGGTTCAGCACCTGCCCAAGATGGGTCGGGAAATGCGGGAGCGCAGTAGGGGCGGGATGCCCTACTGTCGCGGACTCTGAAGCTACCTCTAAGTTCAGAGTGATCGAACAAATGGGTAGCATAGTCTCTGAGGTTCCGAAAGGTCGGACCTTAACCCTTTTGGTCTATAGCGCTCGAGTACGAGGTTATGACCAAGTGATGATCCTTCTCGTTGATTTTGGGTGCATCACAATATTTTGTGAAACTCGTGGCTCTGAAAAGGAGACCGGCGAGTTATGAGTCGCTTTGCCCGGATGGCAAGCGAGAAGAGGCGATCGTCCGTTTAGCGAACGGCGCGCTCGTTAAATCGGAGGGAGTTCAAGTTGAACTCACCTTCAGTTTCAGTGACTTCTCTTGTAAAGAGAAGCTCACAGTGCTAGGTATGGAGAGTCCGTATGACCTCATCCTAGGCATGCCTTGGTTGGCTAAACACCAACCATGGATAGACTGGCGTACACGCACAGTTACGAAAGACATCGAAAAGGATGTGCTCTTGCGAGAGGCTTATGCGGTTGATGCTATGTCCAACACAGTCGAATTGCGATGACGGTATGTCAATCGGCACCAGGAACTACCCAGCTCGAAAAGAGTGGTGTAGTTGGCGGAAAGCCAGGTGACACATATTCCTACCCAGGTCGAAGAGACTGGTGTAGTGAATGGGATGATGACAAGTAGTCGTGCGTCCAATGGTCCTGCACAGAGCCGAGAGCATGTGACAGTTGATGGTGGACTGACAAGAAGCCAAGCGCCACAAGAACCGGCACAGAGCCATGAGCCTGTGCGGCTGGAAGAAGTGCGCTAGCTGAAATAACAACGACACCTTCTTCAAGTTCAATGGTCGTGATGACTTGAGCAACGAGCATCAGACCTATCAAGACGATCAAGGGCACGTCGAAACGAGTGAACCTTGGATCAGTCTCGGTCCAAGAGGACGGACCTACGAACGAGTTGTTCGAGGTCGTCGAAGACAAAATGCCGGAGGCATCCTCAGTTGAGGTGCTCCAACTTGTCTTGGCATCTGCCGAGGAGATAATAAATCTCTCGGAGATGACGTGGGATCTGTTCCTGTCCGAATT